AAATTAATTATATTAAAATATATAATTTATCTCTAAATCTATTATCAATATTTAATAAATTAAATTTTTAAATTTTAAATAAAAAATTTAATTTTCAAATATAAATTAAAATTTTAATTTTTTTGAAATTAAAATTGATCCACGTTAATCTTAATAATATGTTAAGTACATGTTAAAAAAACTTTAAAAAAAATGATTGGCAGCTCCTTCAAGATCTGTAGACAAAACGAACCATCTTTTAGGCTGAAAATCTCCGATTAACCACCGCCAAGCCGCCATCAACCGCCAAGTTCTGCCCGCTGATGTAAGCTGATTCATCGGAAGCAAGAAACAACGCCGTCTCCGCCACGTGCATGGCTTTCAATGCAATGCCCTTCAAGTTGGCGGCGGCGCAGCAATTGGCCTCCACTTCACTCGGCTGCAAATTGTAAGCTTCGCAAGAGAGCGGCGTCGCAACCCCAAACGGTGAAATGCAATTCACCCTGATCCCGTGGGCCCCTAGCTCTCCGCAGGCGGCTCGGACCAGACCCACGAGGGCGTGCTTGGATACTGTGTAAGCATGGGGTCCTGCCCCTCCAAGCAGGGAGGCCACACTAGCTGTGCATATTATAGATCCCATGATGTTTCCGGCCACCATGGCACGTGCGGCGTGCTTTATAGTGGCGGCGGCGCCTCGGACGTTGGTGGCCATGGTAGTGTCGAAGGCGTTGAGGTCAAATTCCAAGATACCGTTCAGGGGGCCAATGATTCCGGCATTACTGAACAGAACATCCAGTTTCCCGTACTTCTCCACCGTAAACTTCACCGTCTCCTCCACTTGCTTCTCGTCTCTGACATCACAGTGGCAGTAAGAAACTCTATCTCCGCCGATTGATTCCACTACTTTGTTTCCCAATTCATCTTGCACATCGGCGATGACAACAGAAGCGCCGTTTTCAGCAAATAACCGCGCCGCCTCTTCGCCAATCCCACTGGCAGCCCCGGTTATAAGTGCCACCTTACCGTCCAACCTAGAAAATTAATTAATCAAAAGAGTTGGTCCATTAATGGAATTTGGAAGATCGATGTTGAGAATAATACACTAGTTAAGAAGTTAAGAATATTGTTGATGCAAAGGAACATCTAGCTAGCTAAGAATGAATTGATCTTAATTACCTTGGTTTGGACATGATGAATATTGAAGAGTCACTAGATGGATTTTGCCTAAAACTTGTTTGGGCTATTGGATCTAATGTAGTAATGTTTATATAACCATATGAGGTCTCCACACGTGCCAACTATCAGTGTCAAATTTAGCCTCTCGTTTAGTATTTTGTTTTGGTTTTGGGTTTATGGTTTTTATTTTTATATATTTATTAATTAGTATTATATTTAATTTAAATTTAATAAATTTTAATTTGTATAATAAATTTTAATTTATAAATATAATAATAGTTACTAAATATATAAAAAAAATAAAAATTTTAAATAAAAAACCAAAATCATAATATACAGAGCCTTAATTAATAACAGTATAAATTTTTTTTATTAAATTCCATCCTACCAAAAGGGGAGAAGAGTTACTTGTGATTATATAATGCATGTTTATGTACCAAAGAAGAAATGCCCGTTTAGAAAGAACACGTGATGTCATATTAAATAACCTCTTTGCATAGATCTAGATGAGGGGCTAATACTTGCCTATTAATGTTATTTTGAAGAATCATTAATCTTCAATAGGGTATTATCTGAGGTGGGTTTGGTTTGGGATTAATATCAGGATGTACTATTATAATGTTTTAATATGGTTTTGGAATCTAAATGATTTGTTACTTAATTAGTCAATTAAGTTGTGTGTGCACGTAAGTGCATTAATTGTCTAAATGAACTGTGTTAGCAGTCATTATTAGGTTGATAATGTATATCAAATATTTCAACTCGTATTAAAATTTAAGTTTTTATTGATACAATTATAATTTTTTTTCCTCTTTAAAAAATTCCATTGGTTCAAAAAAAAAATTGTCTAAATGAAATCACTAGCTTGATATTTACAAAAAATATATATATTCTTTTTATTAGGATTTATTAGAGAAAATATTAATCATTCACCTCATCTCCAAAAATTAATATTTTTAAGAAAAAAATTATTTTAAAATTATATTATTTTAATATATTTTTATTATAAAATTAAAAATATCCACTCCTGTTTTTTTTTGGGAAAAAAGGCATAGTTTATTTAGTTTGAATGCAATAACGGATGCATGGTCACATGATTGCAGCTAGCACGTTAGTCAATAGTCTCAACTTGTCAGATCCAAGAAGGGGGTGCTCGCTTTTAAGTTTTTGAAGGAGAATTATTTGTATTATAGAGTATTTATATTATAATTATATTGATTAAATTTATATTATAATTTATTAATATAATTAAATTAATTAATTTTATATTATAAAATATTTTTTTATACAGAGTTATAAATAAACACTTTATATATTAAGTAAAATTAAAAAAAAATTTCTTTTTTATATATCTTTATATTTTTCTTCTCTTTATTTATTCTATCAATTTGCAATGCTTTCTGGCGTGCGTCTTGCGGTGGATCTGGGCTTTCGCAGAGTGGTGATTGAGAATGATCTCGGTTCATGCTGTTGTAGAGGCAGGCAGGGGCGGAGATTGTTTGTTAATCCTGTGGGGCTATGGTGTTTGAAATGCATGGACTGTTTCCAAGATTAGATTCATATGGCTTTTCTCATGAAGGCGTGGAGAAGCTAACATTGCTGCGCAAAATTTAGCCAGCATT